CTAGGGCGGTGACAAGGAGACCTCATGGTAGGTGTCTAAGCAGGGAAAATGTATAGAAAATGCTTGTCACTCGGTTGGGCAGTGACAGCTCCATGCTGGTCCAGAGTGAGTGGGCTAGGCTTGAAGAGCCAATGTGGCTGAGTTTCCAGCCCTTGCTCTCCAGATCCTGATTGTGGTCCCAGAAATCAAGCAAAATCTCCCCTGCTCTGCCCTTAGCCCTGGAGGGAGCCAAGTATGGACTCACATGCCCCCTTCTTCCTCCCTCAGATCTCTCCTTCTCCCAGGGTCTCCCTTCCTTCCTTCCTTCCTTCCTTCCTTCCTTCTTCCCTTCCTTCCTTCCTTCCTTGCCTCTCTCTTTTCTTTTCTTCTCTTTCTCTCTTTCTCTCTTTCTTTCTGACAGGGTCCCACTCTGTTGCCCAGACTGGAGTGGTGCAGTGGCACTATCTCAGCTCACCACAACCTCCGCCTCCCAGGCTCAAGCGATTCTCCTCCCAGGTAGCTGGAATTACAGGCACGTGCCACTATCGCCCAGCTAATTTTTGTATTTTTAGTAGGGACAAGATTTCACCACGTTGGCTAGGCTGGTCTCGAATTCCTGACCTCAAATGATCCACCCATCTCAGCCTCCCAAAGTGCTTGGATTACAGGTGTGACCCACCACACCTGGCCCCAAGGTCACCTTTCAAGGTCAATGAGGTGGGGACAGCCTAGCCTACCTTCCTGCCTTTGGCTCTCCCTGACCCCCAGTTCTCCTAACATAGTCCCAACTGGCAGATTCTCCAGACCCCCAACAGACACCCGGGTTACATCCGTTTCTAATTACAGGGGTGTGAGAATGTGAAATCACACAGCATGCGTCTCCTTGGCTGTATGCCTATGTCTTCATTCCTCAAATGGCTTTATCTGTCAACAGATATGGCCAAATCACTCATCCTATCGCCATTCCAGAAACTACCAATGCCTTTTGGAAAGAGAGGAGTGGAGTGATGAGCTGGTCTTTGGGGTGCTGGGGATTGGGGACTTTCATGATTCCAAACCAGCCTCTTTCTCCACCCCTTTAGAAACTTGGTTACTGACATCACCAGCACCCACTGCCTGCCCAGCCAGGCCTCTCCCTCATCGCATAGCCTCTTCATTGATCATTGATGGTAGGATCTCTCTTCAGAGGACAATTTGAAGCCTGTCATTCTTGCAGGGTAGAGAAGGAGTAAATGGCCCAGTGGACGGGGCTCAGGGCTGGGTTTGGGGATACTGTGACGGGGCAGGTCCTTTGCTTTTTAGGAATCACTCGAAGGAACATTCTGCACGTACTGGTTTTATCAACTGATGTTGGAATGGCCGTTGCCACGGCAGCAGAGCGCTCCCACTGCAGTAGAGGATAGTGGGAAACTCATGGGATGTGAAAAGAATTAAAAAAGAGCCAGATAAAGGGAGAGGTCACATTAGGGAGTGTCAGAAACTTCCTGGATGCCAAGATGGCCATTTAAAGGGACCAGCACCTCGCCATGGCAAGGCCCCTTAAAGAATGACAGTGCACAGAGACTGGCGCTCAATGGGATTGGCACTGGATTAACTCATGGGATGTACATAGAAAGCGTCTTCAGTGTTATAAACCTACAGGTGACACTTCATGCCGGAGAGAGTGTGGAGCACTAGGTTTAGATGGCAGGGAGGAGGTCTCTCTTACGGACAACACTTTTTTTTCTTCTCAAAAGAAGCAGAATTTCAGGAGCTGTTTATTGAAGGAAGTGAAAGGACATGGGATTTGGGGAGTAGGATATCCCACGAGAGCGTAAAGAGAGGGGAAAGGGACCAGGCCAGAACACCAGATCAAATAAGAAAGCAAGATAACCAGGAAGGAAGGAAGGAAGATCAGGCCCTGGGGAGGGGGCATAAGGTGACAAGGAAGTGCAAGTGGACAGAGCAACAAGTGGAACCATGTTTGGAGCAGTTTTAAAGAATTTGAGAGGCACTAACCTACAGGCACGGGAGTCCGAGACAAGGGACCAAATTAAACCGGGAGAGGGAACCAGGTTTTGCTCACAGCAGTATACACTGGGTGGAATGTGTCACAGTGAAAATATACACAGTGAAAATAAGCTTTCTTGGCCAGGATGGTAGGCAGTGAATTTCCCTTTGTCTGCTAAGGAAAAGATGAATTTACATGCAGAAAGAGGATATTGAGACAACAAGTAAGAACAACTGTAACCGGGCAAGTCAGAGAACAGGTGTTGTCAGATTCTGAAATTGCTATTTTTAGGGAAGGTATGGTTCTCAGGTGATTGAATTAGGGGCATCTTGTGTAAATTAGAGAATGACCAGTAAGTAAGGATGAAGACTGTAGAAGTGATGGCTTGTGACTTCACTGCAAGTAGCCTGCAGGATGGGGGAGGAAGGGCATGGTCATACTTACTGAAAGATTGGACAACAAAGGTGGGGCTTGATCCCTTGTTTGAGCTGGGACCTCATGTTTGGACATAAGCATGAGTACTTCATGTGTACCCAGAAAGAAAGTCCCATGATTGGCCTCATCCTTTGGGTACTTTCTGTGCCTTGGCCAAGTTCTGGCATGATACCACTCACATCCCTTTAACCACTTCTTCACTGCTTGTGATTTCCTGTTTGGAACTGGTCCTCCCCTGAGTTTCCTAATGCTAGACACAAGCCTCTAAAGCCAGGGTGCATCGTGCACTGCAGACGGTACAGAATCCTCTCGTAAAGGATTTTTGCACCCAACTCTTGTTATTCCTGTAATTAGAACATATACAACTATGTCTACCTGAGATGAATGTGTTGATGTGTGTTGACATTGCTTTTTTCCTAGGGACAGGATTATTATTGTCTATTTTGTATTCCCTGCCAGACAGGAAATACAAGAGTCCAGAGTTCCTTCAGGACGGTCGCCATCTTTTTCTGTGTCTCCAAGACTTAGCCAAGAGTCCATGCTTCTTACCAAACACCCCTCTACTTGAGAACTCTATATTCTCAGTGTCACTTATCCTTTCTGCTATGATCTCTGTCTTTGCAGATTTTATGGTATCTCAATCTGAAAGGCAGACAGTCCTGAGATACCACCAGAACCCAAGAGTCATGCAGGGTACAGACCCAGTGGACGGTGCTCAGGCCTCCAGATCCATTTAACCAACACAGTTGCAGCACTTGCTCCATACAAAGTGCTTAGTGAAACGGTTCTACACTGGGAGAGGTTCTGTGCTGATGGGAGAGACAGACAGAGACACAAATACATTTCACACCAGGCAGGAGGCGATGATTAGTGTTACAAGAGTGCGTGAACCGTGAGACTCACATAATTCTTCAGATTCTAGGGTAAGGGAGGAAAGGAGCCAGAGAGATGAAGGTTGTGTTCAGGGTGGAGAGATCATCTGACGGTTGCCACATTCTGGCAAAATGGGCTGTATAATCCCTAGAGTGTGGCTTCATCTGTGGCCTACCCCTCCTGGAGCAAGCTTTGCTTTCAGAGAGTTCGCCTCCACTTTCTCCTGTCCCTCACCTCTCCTGAGAGCCTTTTGCTCAGGCAACCTGGCCCTGACTTGGGAGGCCATGAGAGGATGGGCAGTGTCCCCTCTGCTGAGGTACAGTCCTAGGCAAACTTTGGCCTACTCCCTCTGGCTCCTGTTCCCTCTCCACCCCATCACTGTCCCAAGGCCCAGGTAGGAGGGAAGGAAGAAAGGCTAGGGAAACACGTTTTGAAAGTACTCTGCAGCTAAGCTTTAGCTCTGGCAGGCAGGGAACCCAGGGCAAAGCCTCCTGTTGATTCCCTGGTTTGACAGAGGCCTTTACAGTTCCAAAGATCTTCTATCTATGAAGCTGGCATTATAACCATTGTAAAAGAAAACAGAACCAGAGGGGCTCAATGACTTTGACAAGGTCATGTGGTTAAGTGGAAGGGAAACCCAGTCTCCTGATTTCAAGAGTTACTTCTTCCCCTACAAAGCCCGCAGCCCCCTCCCCAGTCAACCCTGGGCCCCTTCTCTCCAAGCCCCCCATGTCCTACCCCCATCACCCTACCTCCCGGGCTCCTGAGGGCAACCTTGAGCCTCAAATTGAAGTAGGGCGGGACTGGGAGTTTCCTGGGGGAAAACCAAAGATGGTTTGGGGTTGGGGGAGGGGAACGAGCACCCTGGATATCATTCCTCCATCCTTCTTCCGACATGTCTCCGAGGCCCACAGGCCCTCTCCCTCCCTAACTCTGAGCCGCCCTCACTCCGTCTCTTTTACCTGCATCTCCACACCTCCTCAACGGATCTTTCTCCCGGACACGGCAGGGGGTCACCCGTGCCTTCAGAGAATCCGAGAACCCACCCCGCCTTTGCGCGGAAAGCTGGGAGAAAAACTGGTCGGATCCTTTATCTCCCCCCTACCCCCCACTCATCCGCCCCTGGAGCTCCGCTCGCAGATACCTCCCCCTCCCGAGCCAGAAATAGACACACTCTCCCCCACCTCCCTCCCCGTGCGCACACTCGCTCCCCTCCTCCTGTTTGCTCCCCGCCTTCCCCTTCCCTCCTTCCTCCTCTCGCAGCCGCAGCCTGCAGCCTCTACTCGGGCTGGCTGGCTGAGTGCGGCCGGGGTGCTGCCCAGCAGTGCGGTGTCCACGGGACTGACAGGCAGGCAGGCCGCGGGCTGGGATCCGGACACCCAAGCACCGCTGGGCGTCAGAGGAGCCGCGGGGCTTCCATCCTTCCTTTGACTGATTTTTAAATTTTAATTTGTATTTTCCCCGCCGCCCCGCCCCTTTTCCTCCGACCCCGCCCTATCGCTCCCCGGCTTCCTGGCTTCCCTGTTCTTTCCTTTTTCCTGGCTTCCTTCCTCTCGTTTCTTTCCTCTGCGCCCTCGGCTTGCCTCCCTCCTTCCTCCCTCGCTCCCTCCCCCTTCCTCTCCCCTTCTTCCTCGTTTTCTTCCGTCCTCTCTCTCCCCCCTCCTCCTCCCCCGCCTCCTTCTCCTGCGCTCCCGCCCCCTGCCCCCTCCCCCCGTGCCTGCAGACGCGCGGATCGTCCATGCGCTCCTCGCGGGCAGAATGCTGGGCAGCAGCGTCAAGAGCGTGCAGCCCGAGGTGGAGCTGAGCAGCAGCGGCGGCGGCGACGAGGGCGCGGACGAGCCGCGGGGCGCCGGCAGGAAGGCGGCGGCGGCGGACGGCAAAGGCATGCTGCCCAAGCGCGCCAAGGCGCCGGGCGGCAGCGGCGGCATGGCCAAGGCCAGCGCGGCTGAGCTGAAGGTCTTCAAGTCCGGCAGTGTGGACAGCCGTGTCCCCGGCGGGCCGCCCGCCTCCAACCTGCGCAAGCAGAAGTCGCTCACCAATCTCTCTTTTCTCACGGACTCCGAGAAAAAGCTGCAGCTTTATGAGCCCGAGTGGAGCGACGATATGGCCAAGGCGCCCAAAGGCTTAGGCAAGGTGGGGTCCAAGGGCCGTGAAGCTCCGCTGATGTCCAAGACGCTGTCCAAGTCAGAGCACTCGCTCTTCCAAGCCAAGGGCAGCCCGGCGGGAGGCGCCAAGACCCCCCTGGCTCCGCTCGCGCCCAGCCTGGGAAAGCCGAGCCGGATCCCTCGAGGACCCTATGCGGAGGTCAAGCCGCTCAGCAAGGCGCCTGAGGCGGCGGTGAGCGAAGATGGCAAATCCGACGACGAGCTGCTCTCCAGCAAGGCCAAGGCGCAAAAGAGCTCCGGGCCCGTCCCTTCCGCCAAGGGCCAGGAGGAGCGCGCCTTCCTCAAGGTGGACCCCGAGCTGGTGGTGACCGTGCTAGGAGACCTGGAGCAGCTGCTCTTCAGCCAGATGCTGGGTAAGTCCTGCCGCCCCGCCCCGCCCCGCCCCTGTCTTTCTCCTAACCAGCTGCTGGGAAGGTGTGAGGAAAGCGAAGCCCCCTCCCCTTGCGCCTTCCCGGAGGGCCCTCCTGTTCACATGCAGGCTGTGAGGGGCATTGCGCCCAGATGTGCTGAGCTGGCCCACCTCCAGATGCGCATGGCTCAAGTGTATCTTCTTAAAGACACTGCAGGCGGGAACCCGGGCTGGACTCTGGCCTGCCCGAAGTGAGGCTGGACAATGGGGTGGGGGAGTCACAGGCTCTCGGAAATACAGCGAGAATCCCAATACGGCAGAATCTGGGACTGGTGGAAATCTCCGTTTTGGTGTGGCCTGCGCTTGACAAGAGCATCCTACATTGCAAGGGGAGCGTCCGGCGAGAGCCCGGATCTAGGGGACAGATGTGGGAGAGCAGATGTGAGGGCTGGCTGGCCGCGGGACACAGCTGAGGCTCCGCTTCCTCTGTGGATCCCGAGTGGGAGCGCGAGTTGGATTTCCCGGTGTGGGGATTCTGGCTGAGAGAAGCGTCCAGGGCCGGGGGTGGGCGGGCTGCCAGCTGCGCGCATCTGGGCTTACGTCCTACACCTCAGCCCCGGCTCTGCCCCAACCCCTACACCCGAAGGTCTTTTAGGGCGCGTGGAAAGGTCTGGGCTTTTGCGCCGAGACTCCTGTGTGGCCGGGAAGCCTTTGCCCTGTGGCTAATGGAAGCCGAGCAGGCGGGAAGGGAGGAACAAAGCTTGCTCGAGTGGAGGAAGCGCCGAGCTGCTCCATTGTTCTCCGTGCTTGAAGAATCTATGTAAAAAAAAAACCGGAACGGGCCCCGGAACTGCTCTTTCTCTCCCTGGAGAGCCCCTGCCCTCAGAGAGGGATAGATCTGGGATGTACCAGACGCTAGGCGGCCGTGCCTCGGGAACTGGCACCGGCCCTGTTAGGGCCACGGGACAAGGACGGCGAGGCCTGGAGCCCAGGCGAGCTGCCTTGGCTGCGCGGACTTGTTGCGGTGGCTGGGATGTGGGTCCTCCGGCGCCGAGGGACCCGAGCTTCCTGGGTACCCGGCAGGCTGCCCGCCCGCTGGGGGCTGGGAAGGGGCGTGCCCAGGCGCGTGTGAAGGGGCGGGGCCGAGTGACGGGCTCGGCGGGTGGGGAAGACGCGAGAGCTCGCCGGGCGGCCCTGGAGAATGCAAAGCCGGAGGAGACCGGTTCGGCCTGCTGCAGTCTTCCCGGGGACCCTCGACTCCTGCGCGGGCTAGAATGAGGGTCCTCTGACAGGGGCAAGGATGTGGGCCTTTGGAGAACTGATCCTCACGCAGGAGGCCGCAGATGGGCTTTGCAGAGGCAGTAGGGAGACTGGACAAGGGCAAAAGAAGAGCAGGCGTTTCCCCGGGGAGCCCCTCCTGAAGGTGGGGATGGCTGGATGGGTGCAGAAGTTGACCAGGCAGCCTCACTCTGCAAAGGGAGTGTGCCGTTCGGTCTTCAGTGTGGGACTGAGCCCGTCAGAGGCCCAGCCCAGTAGTCCAATGGGGCAAGAGAGACAATATGGGAAATAATTAATGAAACAATTGCCTGCACCAAGGAGGGATATGGATAGAATGCAACTGGCCCCTGTTACAGAGATGCCTGCTGAGGGACTGAAAGCGGGGTGGGAGAGGAAGGGACTGTGTGTGTGTGTGTGTGTGTGTGTGTGTGTGTGTGTGTGTGTCAGACTGAGAGGGACTTGGTGAGGGCAAGGGAGCGTCAGGGCACAGAATAGCAGAAGGCACAGACCCCTTTTCAAGGTCAGAGCGGTACTTGTTGGGGATGACTTAGCTGCTCTGGGTCCTCCCCAGACCTGGAAATCCTCACAGTGTCCCAGACGATGACTGCCCACTGAAGCCCTCTTAGCTGCTCCTCAAGAGGAGCCAAACAGTCCTGAGCTGGCTAGGGAGTGGGGAGGCCGGCAGGAGCAGGGAGGGCAGGAGAGGAGGAGAAGCTTGAGCTGTGGTTCCTTATTCCTGCTCAGCAGTTGTCACTTCTCAAAGCACACTGACACAGGAGCCTCTCAGCAAACCTGGAAGTGAGGAGAGAACACCTCCACTTCCCAGTTGGGGAAATGCGAAGTCAAAAGCATTGAGATTCTTGCCGGGCGCGGTGGCTCAAGCCTGTAATCCCAGCACTTTGGGAGGCCGAGGCAGGTGGATCACGAGGTCAGGAGATCGAGACCATCCTGGTCAACATGGTGAAACCCCGTCTCTACTAAAAATACAAAAAACTAGCTGGGCATGGTGGCGCGTGCCTGTAATCCCAGCTACTCAGGAGGCTGAGGCAGGAGAATTGCCTGAACCCAGGAGGCGGAGGTTGCGGTGAGCCGAGATCGCACCATTGCACTCCAGCCTGGGTAACAAGAGCGAAACTCCGTCTCAAAAAAAACAAAAACAAAAACAAAAACAAAACAAAAGCATTGAGATTCTTAAAGACCTCTATGAGTTCACGGTGGAAGGGAGATTTTGCATTGATCTCCTGAGTCGTAAGTTGCAGCTCTTCCTAGGAGACCTGATTGAGAGAGGAAGAATCAGCGGGCAGAGGGACCTGCCCAAGGCTGTGTCTACTGGGCATGGTCCACGAGAGCTGCCTTGATGACCCCACAGAGAACTGAGGGGCTTAGCTCTCTGGGGTGGGGGAAGAAGTATGGAAACTCCCAAACCTGCCTGTCTCCAGCTGAGAGGACCCAAAGTTGGGGGGTTTGGTTCAGGCTGTAGCAAGGCAAAGCCTGGTGTCAAATGGTGGTGGGAAGGAGAGGAGGGGAGTTGGTGACCTCCAGACTAAGCTTTTCCCCTGTGTGAAGGGTGGAGGGCAGGCTGCCAGGGGAAGGGGGAGAGGGAGGGGAACCACAGAGGGAATTGTCTTCAGAACTAATGAAGGTGGGGTTCAGGTATCAGACAGTCCCTCAGTGGAGAGCAGGGTGGCCTCTGGGGAGAAAAACGGTGCCTTGATGTTTCAGGATTGTGACTGAAGACACTGGGCATTTGTCCCCACCCGTGAGGCTCAGTGTCCAGTTACATTCACTCCCCACTACCATCCTAGATCCAAGAAGCTGCCAAGAACCAATTTCTGAGGCAGAGAGGGGGTGGGAGTGAGGCAGCTTCCAGTCAGAGCCTTTCTGTAATAAAAGAGGACTGAAACCTGATCATCCCCTTCCCAGAAATCAGCGGGGGTCCCAGATGGTCTAGGCAGGCTCCCTGTCCCTTCGCTAACCTTAGAAGCTGCCAAATAACTCGGGTCCCACTGGGGAACCCTAGAAACTTGGAAGACTGAGGGGTGAGTACCAAGAGCAAATGGGCTAATTCCAGGAATCAGATGCCTTTGGACCCTGGCCTGATACTCACATCAGGCAGTTTGGTTCTGGAAGAAAGGCCACCAGGCCCTTGGCCTGGGTCTGGGGGTTGAGCTGGAGGCTGTATTCCTGAGTTCTCTGTGTGGAAGTCCTAAGCTCTGAGACCTCCTCACTTTCCTCATTTGCGAATGGAAGAGATCCTCCCATGACTCATCCTTACTCCGTACAGATGGGAAGGGGTGCAGATTAAGGTGATCAGACCTGGAAAATGTCCCAAGTGGCTTAAAGAGAGCCTGTATCAATACAGAGCAATAAAATACAGATGCATCTCAATTTATGATGGGGTTATGTCCCATTAAACCCATTGTAAGTTGAAAATATTGTAAGTCAAAAATGCATTTAATACACCTCACCTACCAGACATGATAGCTCAGCTTAGCCTACCTTAAACATGCTCAGAACACTTATATTAGCCTATTTCATAATAAAGTTGGATAGTTTATTGAATACTAAAAGTAAAAATGGTTGTATGGGTACCAGAAGTATAGTTTCTACCCAACATATTACTTTCATGTGATCATAAAGTCGAAAAATCAGAAGTCGAACAATTACAAGTCGGGGACTGTGTGTACTACAGTAGTATCCCAAATCTTCCTACCTCATCAGCCCTGGACCTAAGGATCTCAGAGCAAAACTAGTCTTTTGACACCCCAGGTGTTCCTGTTCCCTCCTTCAGTCCTCCAGAAAAAGGGGGCAAAGTGAGACAGCTATGACTGCCCAAGGTCAGGGCATAAAATAACCCAGGAACCTGGACCTTCCAGTCCCTCTTCCCACGAAGGTGTCTGGACCCACACAAGGGGTTGCCATGACAGCAGTTAGACCCTCAGAAGTGCAGGCCAAGTAGAAATGAGGAAGAAAGGCAGGAAGCTGTTCATTTATAGGCCAGTTGATTGCTGTGGATTTTTGGGAGGGAGGGGCGGTACAAGGAGGTCAGTTGCTCCAGAGAATGTGCTCTGGGATACTTTGAGTAGCAGGGAAAAGAAATGTGTCAGTTTTCCTTTGTATTCAGTGCATTGTGGGGCTGGGATGGGTAGAGAGTTCTCCTAACCAGAACAGACAGGTGATATATGGAAGCTTATCCAACACCCTCAGGTTCCTTGAGGCTCACTTCTGCCTTTCCCCTGGGCAGCCGTAGTGATGGAGGATGCCTGTGGAATCACAGGCAGGAGGAAGGGCTGGGGCAAGGTGCAGCAGCCTGCAGGAGTGTGTGCGTATGTGGAGAAGGCACTGGCACAGAACCTTGAGGCTGTGAGGCCTCCTGCCTTCCTCCAGGTTAGCACCGAGAATATTTCTTTTCTCACTATGTCCAGAAAGTTTCTTCCAAGGCTAGGCTTGGGCCCCCACCCAGGTCATGTTCCTCTCCTTCGGGTATTGCCTTGTTCTGACTGCTGCAGGTAAAGCTGGTGTCCTCACAGCCTATGCTCTGCTTCTGAGAGTAATGCATGGATGAGTAAGTAGGTCCTAGGGGCAGTTCCTCTGCTCTGGGGAGAAAGTACCGATGGAGAAGCGCCCAGAGCCACTCTGCTTCCCTGAAGCTTAAAACCAACCCAGGGAGATACCCTTTATCATCCGTCACTGATGGCTCCAACCCCAAGCCACGGCTCCTTCTAG